CCAGGTTTACACGAGCTATCTAAATTCAAAATCGCACATTCCTTTTTCTCGACTTTTTTGGCAATCTATCTCTCATAAAAACACCTCGAAAGTAGGGTAAATCTCTAGTATGTTCTAATTTTTTTACTAGCCATGAAGCCATTTTCTCACCTCTTCCCGCATCTTTCGATCTCAATCGTTTACTTGCCATATTGATTAGTTCTTCTTTGTGTCTAGAATTTAAATCTTTGTTAGCGTAAGCGATATCGTCGTACGTACAAGCCTCATCTAGTTTATTTATTTCTCTATCACCTCTTCTTAAACGTTTCTTAAGTTTTGTACCTTGACCACAAAATTGATAACCAGGTATATGCAGCCTTTCATTGATAGATATATAAGTAATGAAACGAATTGTCTTAATTTATACTAAGTTAAATCATTTAAGTTGATCCAAAAGATCCAACTATTTTCTTTTTCATTCAACCCTAACTATTTCACATAAAGTTGTTACCTTTTATTTTTATAACTTTTTCTATCAAATACAAATCCGGACATTTAGTCTTTTGTAACTCAAGTTCATAAAAAGTACCTAGAATATTTTCATTATTTTTATCTTGTAACCTATACGTTGTAGGATTAGATCTATTAACTTTGACAATTTTAAATATTTCTGTTAACCAGTTTGGAGTGTAACCTTTATAAAAATCACATTTATATTTACTTATACGAACTTGATCTCCAACTTGATACTTTGCATTCGGAGATTTTTTTTACTTGTGAACTAAGGATATTGGATTTGACAATATGTTCATTTGACTCATTTACATCTATTGGATTAAACTTTGTAGTGCGATGTACACTATTGTTATATGATTTAATAGACAAATTTAAATTATTTCCCAGCCATTCATATTTTCCTTTTAGACTAAAATATTTAAAAAGCCTAGATTTTAACGTTCTAATAAATCTTTCAACTATTGATGATTTTTTTGTGGAAAATGTTGAGTAATGTTTAATACCATACTTTTTTATTAACTTCTGAAAAGGAGCATTATAAAACTCTTTCCCTAAATCTGTTTGTAAGTAAGAAGGACTACGAGCTGAAATATTTAAAATTAGTTGCATAGCTTTTACAATACCGACTTTCGTTTTTGATTTTACTGGCACCGTCCATGCAAACTTAGAAAGTGTATCAATCACAACAAGTATATATTTAAATCCTTTGTTAAAACTAGAATATTTTTTCTTGTCAATAAGATCTGCTTACCTTATGATTTATATCATCAATTCCTTTAATTATTGTTGTACGTCGAACAAAATCACCATCTCGCCGGTTTATGGAGTTCTTCTACAACAATATGTTTTCTCATGATGTCTTGTTCTGTATTTTTGTAATGATTTTATCAACGTCAGTCTTAGTATAGTAAATAGACGATAAATTCATAAAATTTTTCTTTAAAATGTTTTAAACAAGAATCGCCTTGTCTTTTAATTGTTTCCTCAATTTCTTTTTTAGAATAAAACTGTTTTAATGTTGTGTCAATATATTGCTTATTAACTACTTCGTCTTGAAGTATTGGAGATGGTAATCCGTGTAAACGTGCTAGTTTTAAATCATAGTCTCCTGTATCAGATTTCACTAATGCATCGTTTAACACTTCAAAATATTCTGACACACGCAAACGTTTGTGTACATGATGACCAAATTTATCTATATTCATGTTTGTATGTTAACGAAACCATAGATAAACGGTGACTGAACATTTTTGAATCTTACTACATATTTTATTCAACTAATAATATTAGCTTCTCGTAATTCTTCTATGATTGAAATAAATTTATTATCTAGGCTAGTATTACCAGCATCACTGGAAGCCATAAGCAATCTCAATCTTTCTATCAACTCATTAAGATCATCCCAATAAAAATAATCAGTATTTTTCTTCACAGTTTTCAATAATGATAACCCTTTTCCGCACGAAATATTCTCTGTGGAAGGGCTTACACTACTTTTAGAATATTTAAAAAGTGGTTTGATAATATGTACGTATTTGTGACCTTTATTACTTTTTATTGATTTAATCGGATCGAAATCACTTCTATGTGCTTTGGTAATATATGTGCAATAGTAAATATACTTCCGGACACAAAATTCGAGCCACCTCGCGTTTTTGCCTTAAAGGGCTAGAATATAAAAAATAGTGTTATCATCGAAGAAAAAGGTTTTCCCGGTTTTGCAAGTCCATATTTCCAAAAAGGACTTATACTAAACACTTTTAATATACTAGTTTCAAAATTGCGTAGGATAGTTCTTGATCAATCGAACATTGTTTAAGCTTAGGACATTTAACATTGATGCGAGGTGGCTCGAATTATGTGTCCGGGAGTGTATTTATAGTTTTGTTTATCTTCTTCAGTGATTAGAGATAAATCTGGAACTTTTTTAGATAACAACTCCATTATTCCGGGTATCTTTAGGAGTACACGACCACCAATATTAATATTTTTATCCTCATCATAAACTCGCATATTACCCATCATTACCTTACCGCGTTCGGATCTTAAACCAAAAGGTATATCGTTGAGAACTTGTGACGATAAAGACCACGATGTTGATTGTCTTTGAGGGCTAAATGTTGAATCGATTTTTTTCACAGTCTTTATTTATAACTATATAATTATAGTTGTTTCTCCACACTTTTGAACACATTTCTCGGAACTGTACCCACGACATATCAATGCTTACGTGTTCATCTTTTATGTGTCTCAAATTTACATCGTCCTGTTTAAATAATACTAACAAGTTCGGATTGTCTCTAATAAGCTGCTTAGGAATCTTAGTATAGGTTTGATTTAAATAAAAGCTATCTATATTTTTATGTCTACCCATAGCAAAATAAGTACGGATGTTGTTTTGGTTTTCACATGTGACATCGTCAAATATAATGATGGAATTAGGACTGGCTTCGTGGGGACTCAAAACTTCATCATTTTCACGAAATTTGGTATGCTTGGAAAAAATGATACGCTTGGCACCATTTTCAAAACATTTTCTAAAAATTCATACTTTGGTTGATATAGCGACTTTAAGTACGCGTATAAATTAGAGTCACGAAGATCATTCTCGTGCAATAACAGCCCAACCACTAAATTAGTTTCGCCGCAGTTAGATGGGCCGCAAATAATGCATCTAATTGTATTCGGTAATAATTCTCCATGACGTTGAGTATCAGAGCTTGATACAGGACAGATTTCAGCGAGTTTCAAACCGTATTTTTGTTTCACGAATCTCATTATACACAAGAAATGTCTGTACCGTATTATAGTCGTTACAAAAATGAAATATCATTTTTATCGCAATGTTGTTTAAACTTAAATATTATAGTCAATATGCATCAAGAGAACGCAAACAAGAAACGGGCGATCGGTGAAGAGAACGCAAACAGGAAATGAATTTCGAACATAATAATTATAGCTCTCATTTACTTACAATAAATTGTAAAGCAAATTGGTAAAAAGTAATTTTCATGCTTACTCATAATATTGTGTAGAATTATTACAAAGAGGATTACGGGCGATGGGAAACAAGAAACGAATTGGGCATTCTAGACCACGGTGGTCTAGAATTCCCAATATTACCCTACTAATGTATCATAGTTATTTATACATTTTGTGCGTTATTTATCTGTTTTTATTTCTCATGTTACGCACCCCTGTTATTTATTTAGTCTGAACTCAGCTCTCCGGTTGACTGGTAGAGACTGCCTAACGGCATTAAGTCCGCCATTTCTATGCAAATAAGCTTAAATTACTTTACAAAGTATTTTTTTACAGCACCGGACTAGGAAACCCCTGAGACGCGGGTGCCATGTGGACACACATAGACAACCACAAATTACACCCAAAATCACGAGAGAAATTAACGTAGGCCATACATATATTTCTCCCAGTCCGGGAACCAAACCCGCAGCCTCTGCGTGGCAGTCCAGCATGATAAGAGTTCGACCACGAAGGCAGTTAATTAGTAGTAAATAAAATAGATTACAATTGAATATATATAAAATTAAAAGATAAACAATGGAATGTGTTAGTGACAGACAGCGAACGCTTAGGATACGCGACATAATTCTTCTTGAATATTCTATATTAATACCTTGACAAAGTATGGCTTAAACGAACCCTTTGGTTGAGTACTAATATAAAATTTTCCCGTGTTTCGGCAACTCAGTTCATGAATTCCACGTGGAAGGCCGCTAAATGTCCCTAAGGTAAACTTTAGGCAAAGCACGTAATTCGCGAAAGAAATTATTATAGCACGCTATTATATGTTTCCATATATAGCGGCCCCGTTAGCAAAATGACACAAAGGAAGTCTTTTCCACACTAGGAGCTTGTCTTTTTCTTTCTGAAAGGGTACTAAAACAATAATAAAGGACGCTATAACTAGATAATAGAAATCCAATTATGTACAGAGCCTCGTTTTTATAAATAGATTAGACCAGAACATAATACAACATATATTATGTTATACAATATATCGAAAGAAACCTAAATTAAAAAACTCGAAGGTCATTGCAAACATAATCAGACATTATATCTATTCCGAGCATAATCTAAGAAGATTTCACACACCTGCCTGCTCGACGACTTCAGCTAGTATTCATTTCTTGATTTCTTATTGATTTACGTAATTTTCGTCACTTCATATCAAAACGCGTTTCTTAAGACTTCGTAAACTTGGTTAATGATTTACTCGAAAACTTTAACAACAATGTAGAGCTTATAAATAAATTTACAATTTCAGAACCCATTTTTAATGTCCTTTTCGTTCGGTAACCCGTTCGCGTATGTAGCAAATACATAGTCATGAAATACAAATGTATATACGGTGTATATACGTCGAGATACAGTTAAGTCAAGAAAAAATAAATAAAAACTAAAATAAACAATACAACACTATATTCATTAAATAAATACCATCTCAGAAAAAACTATAATATACTGCAACGCCATAACGCGGAGACAATCACGCGTCGAGTGTGGGGTTCCTTAAAAAATTGAATTCGTCCTCGATTTCTTTGTCGAAAAAGCAGTTAGAGGGCTGGCCGTTATTGGCAAGGCAGCGGTGCTGGCGCAGCAGCAGATATAATAGCAAATTATACTCGGAGGTGGCGTTCTGCACCATCTTGAGCGTCGACTCCAGCTGCTCCTGCTGCGCGTCCCATGCGCGTAGCCGCTCGACGCTCGCACCCAGGTACTGGTTCAACTGAGGAGCACATCCAACGGTGACTATTCGGTACGTACACGACTTGCCAAACATGCTTTATTTATGCTCTAACATTTGAGTCCAACATAACAGCTACAACTTTCCACCCACTATCCTTCATTATCTACTTACTTATGATGTAACTAAAGCCGATATAAAATTAATTTAAAATCATTAACGGAAACTCCTCACCTTGACTATCCTCCTCTCCATCAGTTTTCTCTGTATCCACTCACACAGATAAGTAAACAGTCCTAGCAGCAAGAGCGTAAAGGTGAAAACCAGGTCTAGCGTGGGAAAGTAAACGAGTTCGACATCGGGCCAGCGCGTGGTAGCGGCGAGTGCTGGCGGCGCGGGCGGTGGCGCACTGCGCTCCTGAAGCACGAAGTCGGGCACGTAGTACTGCGCCGGCAGCAGCAGCAGCGTCACTAGCGCTGTCACCACCAGCCCACTCGAACACGCGCTCACCGGCATCGCCGCGCCGCCTCCGCTGTCGTACCATGTACCGCCGTCGCTGCCACACCCGGCATACACTCCGCTATCTTCGCAATGTTTCCCGTTAATAGTCGACTCCCCCAAGGTTTAATTTCTGTTGTGATTTGCTGACAATGTCATGAAAAGTCCACGCTTTTGATTTGAGTTTTCACGTGCAGAAGAAATGTCTCCGTCGCGTTTTGACGGTTAGTTTGATATTCTCTTTGACAAAATTCTCTTATCGATTCATAGAGCATCGTTCATAAAAAGTTCCAGCGCAATGTGCCATTGTTTCTTTTCAATTCTTCCAGCACCGGCTAAAGGAAGAAGATGTAAACCCTATGGTCTGCACTTAGCACTCAGAATTTCCCTACAATGAGTAATAGAGGCACAAGGTGATGAACATAGATTTAGTACGTACCAAATATATACTAAATATATGGTGATTAATTATGTTTAAGCAACGCTTAGAGGATGGAAAAAAATAAAGACAAAGTAACGACGTCATCAATATTTTATTAAGGGCGTTGAGATTCTATACCTATAGATTTATACTGGCCGCTTAGTTTGTTTTATATATGTGAATAGCTTTTAGAGAATGGAAAAAAATAAAGGAAAGGAGCCGCCTATCTACCGAATAAACGTCTCTACCTAAACCAAAATGTCCGCCACAAATGGCGGATTTAGTGTTGTACCATAATCATAGATAAGTCAATATCGACATGCAAATATATGGACTGAATGTCGAAACTGTTTTTTGTGTTTGCAAATTTGTATAGTTTGCTGTAATCAAAGTATGATTAATACTAAGCTATTATTACTAGGCAAGTAATGAGCCTTTTTAATCAAAATTAAATATGAAGTTATTTACCAATAACTTCATATTTAATTTTGATTACCGTTTGATTTGAGTACCGATGGAATTGCATTATCATGTAATCTAGTTACATTCAAATTTCTTTTAAAATTTGACTTCAAAATGGAGCGAACACACGAAGATGGTCCTTGATCCAATGTTTATGTTCGGCAGTCCTATAATTTCCAACAATTCTTTCTTTCTTTTTTCATTTGTAGGTAAACTTTAAAAATAATAATAATGAAATAATAAAAACACACAATTCAATTCAAAAACAATTCGCCGATTAGTGAAGATGCTCCAATTAAGGCAGGACAAACAAATTGGCTTTTAGACAGTGGATGTACAGACCATATAATAAATATTGACGAATATTTCGATATATGTGTAACATTAAAAGAGCCAATAAACTTGAGGGTTGGAGATGGAAGAGTATTGAAAGCGACGAAGGTTGGAAGCATTACAACTTACTTTCCTGTTTATAGGAATAAAAACAAAGTGATTATTTTATTTTTATTTTATTATTTTTATTTTATTTATTTTAATTTATTATTATTATTATTTACTTTATTCTTCTCAGCTTGTTAGCTGGTTTGAACCAAATTTGCATTTCTAAGTCAAGTAAATTATCATAATCATCATCATCATCGTCGTCGTTATTATTATTATAATTAAGTTACTCGAAAATAACGGACAATCACAAAATTGTTTCGACGGGATATTTATCGAAAATATATTATAACATGAATAGAGAATTGATAACAATTGCGAACAAAGATGATAGACTTTGCATAGTAACCAGTTTTATCTGTAAGGAAATAGGCGTAAATGCAGCAAACTGTTGTATGACCTTGAAAGAAAAGCTTCACCGAACATTTGGTCATATAAACTTCCATAATCTTGACATAATGTGTAAAAATAAAATATTAAAGAAAAATTACCTAAACAAATAGAAACGGATTAAATGGAGTGTGCTATTTGGGTCGAAAATAAGATGCACAATTTGCCATTTAACAATAACAGGACGAAAGCAGAAGATATATTAGATTTTGTACACACAGATGTTAACGGACCACATAGAACTACAGGATACCAAGGAGAAAAATGTATTTTAACATTTATAGATGATTATAGCAAGTTAGTGAGAGTATATTGTATTCAATCCAGGGAACAAGTTATGAATGTTTCATAGAATACGTCAATCAAATGCACAATATTACAGCAAAAATTATCAAAAAAATAAGATGTGACAACGGAAAGGAGTACATAAACAGCAAAATATTTCATTTCGCGAGAGAAAAAGTGTTAACAATTATATTGTTTGAAGAAAGTGAAACTTTGGATATAACGAATTTTCATTATATTTCATTTCATAAGACAAGCAATTGTTTTTCACAGACAATATAAATGGGTAATGTAAATTATAGTATAGTGGAAAGCTTGTATCGATTACATACAATCTTCACACCCACACTTCTTTTAAGAATTGAATCGTAGGCCAATTCCACGAGACTGCTCGTTGAATCTTGGTCTAGTGCTTTTGTAAGCATGTCTACTAGCTGAACTTGTGCTGCAACTTGCTTGACAATCAGATCTCCTTTCGACACACATTCTCGAATGTACAAGTATCTCAAGCAAATATGTTTTGTTCCACGGTGAAATTCATATGGCGGATTGTATGACAATTTCACTACAGACTCGTTGTCTATACAAAGAGTTGTTTTCAAACCTTCTGTGTTAGTTATGTCTGCTAAAAGCCTCTTCAACCATACTACTTCTTGTGCCGTTTCACACGCGGCTACTAGTTCCGCCTCTGTCGTAGACAAAGCCACTGAAGTTTGCTTCTGACTTTTCCAATTTGACATGTGGTAATGACATTTCCATTACCATCTTCCGTTTTCTGTATTTTGATTGATGGACTCGTAACTGGTTTGCAACGTTCCATGCCAAATCGTTTTAGAACCTTTTTGGCACAGGCTGTTTGCTTTAAATCTAGTGTTCCGTCCTTATTTTTGTTTATTTCCATTCCAAGGAAGTAAGACGCTGGCTTCGTCGTTATTTGGAAATTACTTTTGAGTTCATTTATAAAACTCTTGAAAACTACCAAGCCGTCATCAACATACAATCCTACAATAACTTTTGAGTTTCCCTTGGTTCTTTAGATCTTGATTGAGAACTGCAGTAGTGACATCGAATTGTTGTAAATTCAGATTTTCAGTTGGTGCAGTTCCCAGAATTGCTCTTATAGTTGTGAATCGGGCAACTGAACTGAAATTTTTTATCATAATCAATACCTTCACGTTGAGAAAAACCTTAAATGACTAATCACGCTTTGTAGCGTTCTATGGTCCCATCAGGATTTTTGTTTATTTTATAGATCCACTTGCATGGTAGAGTTTTTCTACCTGTCGGTAATTTGGCAAGTTTTCAAATATTGTTTTTCTGAAGTGAATTCATCTCGCTCTGCATAGGTTCTTCCCATTTTTCTGTCTTCCGATGATTTCTGGGTTCATTGTATGTTTTAGGCTCAGCATATTCCTTTTCTAACTCTGCCACGGTGTTCGTGACAAAATCATCAAATGGTACCAGCTTGCGTATTGATGAACGATCACGCAAGACTCTGGTTTCTATTGATTCTTCTAAAGCAACATTCTGACGTGGCACTTGCAGTTCTTCTGTAAAATGAATTTCATCTTCTTCAGAAATTAAATTAGTTCCTGTTTGCCTTTCTAGAGAGTTGCCGCCTGCTTGAAACACATACGTACGGTAACAAGGTGTATTTTGAGAAGAAGAGAGACTACCCTCTAACAATCGCAAGAATTAAATATTACATTATTACATACAATATATACATTATTACTACCGACATTTGTCGCACCTCCACCCATAAATCTAGAATACATTTAAAATAGTACAAACTTATACTTAAGTATTACATAACTGATCGACTTATACTTAATCTACCACATTACTGTACATTAATTTAGTGCGATAATAATCACTCGATCTCAAAACCGTATCTCTGAGGAGGAACTCCCGGCCTCCCGGACTCCCGAGGTTGTGCAGGAGTCGACCCAATGCCGATGCGGCGCCCATTATTCGGGGAGCAAGTTGTCGGAAATGCTCCCCGAAGTTCCATTGCCGGTCCAGGAGAAGGCCCAGGTATTTCATCTGGGACCTGACCGGGACCGATACTCCCACGATGGAGATGTGGGCACGTGCTAGCACCACCCATCCTCTGCCTCTCCCGCTGAAGACGGCCACATCCGTCTTCGGCACGGCGACCGTGAGCCCCAGCAGTTGTATTCGGCGGACCACCATGTCCGCCACTACTGAGGCTCTTCTGGCCGCCTCCTGGAAGGCAGTCCCCCGGGCGGCCACCAGGATGTCATCGGCGTACACGATGACCGACGTCCAGGGAAGCAGCGCGCCCCTCGGCACCCAATCGTAGGTACCCCAGGTTCCATAGTAATGGTCCTAACACGGACCCCTGGGATACTCCGCACCTCCCCTCCCTAGTCTGGTAGAGCACTAGCCTGTCCTCCAGGTAATGCTCCACTAGACGGCTGAGGTACCCGGGAATCTCATGGTACCTCAGCGCCTCCCTGATAACGGCGAAGGGAAAGGTTTGTTTATTGCAGAAGACCATTTATGGTTTGAAGCAAGCTGGTAAAATGTAGAACGTTCATAATTTTTTGGAATATAATGGTTATGTACAAAGTAAGTGTTTACGTAAAGAAGCAAGGCAATGATTTCACTATAATTGCACTTTATGTAGATGACTTTTATATATTTTATAGCCAGAAAAGTATTAGCTATTCAGAATGATCTACTAATATTGTTAGAAAAAGAATTTTATATAAAGAACTTTGGTCGATTGAGACGTTACCTTGGCATTAATGTAACAAGAGATAGGTCGAAAGGAATTTTAAAATTAGACCAGACTGATTATATATTAAGAGATTATTGTCGCGGTTTGGTATGAGTTCATGTAAAGCTGTTTCTACACCCATATGCCTGTGAATTGTAAAATTGTTAAAGGGTATAGATGAGAATAATGATAACTTTAGGCAATTGCTGGGCTCTTTAATGTAATTGACTGTTTGTACTAGGCCGGATATAGCATATGCTTGTAGCCAGTTAAGTCAATTTAACAATTTCTCATGATAAGAGTCATTGGCAAGCTGCGAAACGTATTCTACGTTATTTAGCGGGGACAATTGATTATTGTTTATAATTCATAAGGAGTAAACAATTGAATTTAGTTGCTTATACAGATGCAGACGGGGCTAATGACGTCACAGACCGTAGGTCATATTCTGGATACATTGTAAAGCTAGGAAATAATGTTATAAATTGGGAGTCACGCAAGCAACGCTGTGTTGCCTTATCAAGTACAGAGGCAGAATATCTTGCCATTACAGATGTTTGTAAAGATATAAGCTTTGTTAAAAGTTTGTTATTTGAGATTTTTAGTTTGAGTCTAGAGTCAATTGTTTACAATGACAATCAGAGCGCATTAAAGTTATTAGAGTGTAAACAAATTTTGCCACAAAAGGACCAACCACATAGATCTCAGATATCATTACATTAAGGACTGAATTAAGGATAATGTTATAGCTGTTAGGTATTTGCAAACTGAAAAAATGACTGCCGAAATACTTACCAAACCGCTTAGTTCTAAGAAACATAAGGATTTTATTTATGACATGAGTTTATGTAGAGTTAATGCTTGAATTTAAAGTATGTTTCTGGTTATGTAAAGATAAATTTGCATGAAGAGTGTAATAGTTGGCATGTTGTTTTGTGCTGTAATCTAATGGGTAAGGGGAAGTGTTAGACAGTGAATGGTATCCTTTAGATTATGTCTATGGTTAAAAAGTCTATGGGTCGTATTCTAGAACTCTACTCAATGCTCAAGTCAGGATTGCACTGGAAACACAAGCACTGAAAATACGATCCTAATGGCAGGGACTTGAGTATGATTTCGAGTGCTTTAAACCATATTCAAATCCTGACTTGAGCATTGAGTAGAGTTCTAGAATACGACCCTAAGACTTAGAAACGTCACTTCGTTCGCTCTCTTCCTCTTCTCTCTGCCGTGCTGTCACGTTCAACACTTGTACGTAATACATTTTAATTTCCTTATATTTTACATTGTGATCAAAGTTAAGATTATATATATACAGACTGTATTTGGTGAGCATTTGTATGGAACAAATGGTAATAAACAAATTAGCATCAAAGACGCTATTTGATTTCAGCTGCACCACTAACATTGTTCTCTGCACGGTTACGCCTCAGAACTTCCACAGTTTTTGGCCTTCTTGGCCTCAAGTTATTTTAACAATATGAAGTCGCCTTGCAATTTCTTTGATTGGCACATCTTATTCATACAGAACAATTAATTCTAATTTTAATAATTCGATTAAGTGTGGCATATTAAAACAAGAAAGAAATCTTTGAAAGTAGGTAATTAAAACTGAATAGATATATGCGAATGAAACATGGAACAAAACGTAAATCACAGAAGACACGATCGTATGCAAACTGCAGAGCGAGTTCGTGATTTGTTAATCTATCCATAACCACCCTACACTTTATTAATAATATCTACCCACCCACGTTATTCAATTTCTAGTGAGCAAATATTCTGATTTGTGAACGTTAACATTAAAAAGTGAAACAATGCTGTTTTAATATGTAACGCTAAAACAAAATAGTGCTCGTGGAATCGAACCACGGGTATTATAACTAGAGTTGGTTAATATAATATATAGCTCAAATTATAACGTTAAATTAAAAAATAATTATAGCAATTATAATTTGAAAGACATAAAGGTGCTAAAATTATAACGAACTTTTCTCCACTTTGGATTGGAGTACGTTAAGAAAATTAAACCAAATGCCATCTAGCGACATAATTTTACAATATTTCAATGCCATACCATCAATCTATCCGTGCTTAACTTACGCAGCTAACAAACAAAATCCTTCTGCGTCCTGAGTTATCTCCCTTAATATTTCATAGATGACTCTATATTCTATGTGAAAATTGCGGCTCTTGTCATTGATTGAAACAATTATAACGTGAAATACTTTCATATATGATTTATAGCATTTAACGTTTGTTGCGAAACGCGAAATAGCTGATTGGTTTATTGATGTTAAATTTCACGTTTGAGTACGCTAAGCGCTAATGCTATATTTAGCACTTAGCAAGTATTATAATTGTAATTATGTTATAAATTATAATTTTGGTAACGTTTTAATAAGATTTTGAGCTAATGGTGGAACGTTAGCAAAATTTCGTCTGGTGAAGTGATTTAAATTAGGATATAAACTTGATATAATTAAGTACCTACTTGGATTTATTTCCTTGGTTTAGCGTTTGTTTAATTAATAAGTCATTGTAATATTTGTATATAAAAGTACGAGTGTGTGTATTTTTATTAATTATTATGAGTGTAATTTACTATAAATAACCAGTGTAAAGTTTTGTGCAAATTGTAAATAGTAAATTGTAAAAGTATGATGGGAAGCTCGCTGATTTATCGTCTATAACCACCATATTATGTAAAAGTTACAAAACAAATGAAGTCGGTCGTAACTAACCATAAAAAACTGTAAACTATTCTATAGATAGACCATATTTGCTATACTTAACAAGTTAGCGCACTTCAACTATTCACGTTTCTTTCCATTCGTCACATTATCACACGACCTTCAATACGTAAAATGGCTCTCAGAACCAAAAGGTCGGTTTGGACATGTTAGGGGGTCATGACTGTACATACAAATACAGCGAAAAAAGAATCGTAGATAAAAAAATCTTTTTAATTGCTCCATCGTTTTCGTTCAGTATCTTTTATCTTTGACAGGTGTCAACTATTAAATAAGGAAAAATATTCGAAAAAATTTTTACCAATTAAAAATAAGAATTTTATAAAATAGAAAATTTTCCATGACCCAACACTAACCTTAACAGAGGGGACTGCCTGTGTTGTTCAAAGTTAGTGTTGGGTCATGGAAAAATTTCCATTATTTCAAATTTTTCGGAAAATTACCCAACATTAGATACACCACACCTTTTATTTTTTTTCATGCTCTAAGCACCACATATAGAATTTATTTTATTATAGAAAGATATCTTATTTTTTACCATCCAGAAAGATATAGTGGTTACATTGTTTGGTTGACAGTGACAGTGACAGACAGCTGTTAATGTTCCAATGTATGTACGTAGTGCTTAAATTCTCTTTGGTATGTTCATTAGGCGCGCGCGAGAGAGCCCAGAGCGTTAAAAATCATATAAAAGTCAGCTGTTAACCAACGTTTCAAACATTATCAGTTATGCGATGTGAAGATTAAGTATTCCTTAGACATATGGTGTAAATACATATTATACAAGTGGCCTATTAGGAATCTAAGACCTTACTTTAATCTCAACTAGACTGCTGGTGTGCTCTAAATATCTGTTTCTGTAATACATTATCAATTTTCAATGTTTCGCGTCTTTCTTAGTAGCAATTGGTTAATTTACGTTACTTGGGTTTCAAGGTCTCAACTCTTAAAGGCATAACTAAATAACGCAAAGGACATGGTGTACAGTTATCTGCCATGAGGAAAGTGGTGTTATTCAAGAGCGCTTCGGAGGAGTACAGCAAAGCGTTCAGCGAGCATGACTACGAGTCGATATTCGTGGAACCTCTGCATTTCGAGATCGTAAACGCGCAACAACTAAGCACACAGCTGCTGCGGCGCGACTACGACGGCCTCGTCCTTACTAGTCCGCGCGCCGTCGAGGCACTGGCCCAGTGCTGGGACCCCACTAAGTTCGCAATATGGAGTACAAGAAGGGTATACACCATCGGAGAAGCCTGCTGCAAAAAGATAAAACTCCAGCTTGGACTAGATGCACTGGGGATGACTGCAGGTAACAGTGAGAACCTGGGTAAAATGATCATTGCTGAGAATTCTGCTACATCAAAATTGTTATTCCCAAGTGGCAACTTGAGCTTGGAAACATTGCCCACCATGTTACAAGCCAAAGGCATGATTGTAGACACCTTAACAGTGTATGAAACGAAAGAAAATGAGCATTTGAGAGCAGACTTGATGGAGCTTAACAGTAGTGAGAAAAATCCTTGCTGCATGGTGTTCTTTAGCCCATCCGGCTGTGAATACATCCATCGGCAGCTACAAACATTCAGCAACAAACTATACCACCTACCACACTTTGCTATCGGCAACACCACAGCACACAAGATAGAGAATCTGGGAATGGAGGTGGCTGGGGTGGCAACCCGCCCAAAGGCTGACAGCCTTGTAGAATCTGTGGAAACATTCTTCTCTGGGAAAGCTACTATTTAAATCAAATAGAATAAAATCATTTATTACATCTGACTGATATCTTAATATTACAATGTAAAATACAATGATAAGGAGTAATATGCTTTTGAACAAAATTGAGAGACAAATAATTTTAATACAAAATAATAACAAAATTAAAATCATCATTCAAATCATGAAACATGTTTCATTGCGAATTCAGTAGGCTGGACAGATTTAAAGATTTTCCACTTTAGTTGTGATCATCTATTGCAGCCTTTCCCAAAGCGGGCGATAACGCCCCCTTGTGGGCGATGACGCCCCCTTGTGGGCGCTGCAGGCCGAAAAGGTAAGAGACCCAGAAAAAAATGGGGGTCTCATATTAGGTTGGTTGTGCAGTGAGGTAGTTGGGATGTCATCTGGTTAGACGTATAGTGAAACACGAACAATTTTAGATAGTGTGTTTATTCATTCATGGTGTAAATAGAAGTGAATTAATAAGTCAACTACAATATAAAGAATCTTATGCCTACTCAACATTTCCTTCAATGCAATCCAGTGACCTACTGAAGAAGTCATGTTGCTTCGACACATTACAACACTAAAAGACCATGGTTCAACACCAGTTTTGGAAGAAAATACACTCAAAATAGCCCCTAGTGCGGGGCTATGTTGAGTGTGTGTGTTATTATTATTATTAAAGGAAACATTGATTTGCATTATACATGTATATCTAGTAAGACAATTTAAACTAAAAGTATCATTTTTTTGAAAAACAGAATTAAACAATGATAAAATAATATAAAATAAAATAAAATATTTTAAAAACTATTACCATTTTAACAAAACTTATTTAAAAATCTTTGTATTATTCTTATGTGTTATGTATTCTTTATTATTTTTTACAATTTTAACATTGAGTGACAGATCTTCTATCACCTCGAATGGACCATCATATACATTATCTAACTTATCTCCTATCTGTTTTCTTATCAAAATTAAATCACCTTTTTATAAGTAATAGGATGACTATTCTTATCATATTTTTTTTTTATTGCGACTCGGCAAAATGACTGCACCGCGCCTTATGGAAAGTGCGAATACAGTCCAGAGATGAGAGTAACGGATTGAAAACACAAATATCTTCACTCCGTCACTATCATTATGCCGGTCTGGCCAAATGCTTCTTCACACTACGTTTGAAGGACCCGATGTTATAGAGGGGAGGGAATACATGCGCCGGGAGTTGGTTCCACAATTTGATGGTTCGGCATAAAAACGAATTGCCAATATACTAATTTTCTATTATATTTATTATGTAACAAATTATTTCTTACCTCTTCTTGAGCTTTTTGTAATCTATGCTTCATTTCCTTAGGATAATCATCATAATTATATAGAGGGTCAACGCCTGTCTGTAAACCACTAGGTAACAAACATTGTTTTCCGAAAACTAACTCATAGAGCGCATATTTAGTCTCGGTTTGGACAGTAGTGTTGAAATAAAAACACCAATAAAGTAACCACCTACTCCAGTTACTTTTATTTTGTTCACATTGAATTCTCAGGTAAGCACCTAAGTTCTTATAGGTGTTTCTAAAGCTCCTATGGTTTCGTGATGATACGAAGTCGAGTGTAATTTATTTACACGTAATAAACTACATATTTTTACCATAATAGATGACATAAACTCCGTACCTGTATCTGTAATTATTTCCTTTGGTATTCCATACCTAAAGATGAAGTTATCGACAAAAACTCTAGCTACTGTTTCGGCATCTTTCCTTGGCAAAGGATATGCTTCTACAAATTTCGATAAGTCACATTGCAAAGTAAGTATGTACTTATAATCATTACTAGAGGGTAAAGGACCCATAATGTCTAAACTTATTCTTTCAAAGCTACTACTTGCTGTAGAAGTGATAACCATCGGCTCTTTCACCTGATGATTAGTATGCTTATTGAATTGACATTGCTTACATTTAGTTACGTATTGGGTTACGTCGTTGGTCATACCTGGCCAAAAATAATGTATTTTAATATTGTTTAACATCCTATTTATTCCTGCGTGGCCACTAGTAAGAAGTAAATGGAAGTCATTTAAAATAACCCTTTGTTCGTCTTTTTCAGTTACTTTCCTAACTTCTTTCGTTATAAGTAAACGTAATGTAGTTAAACCCATAATATTCTTAATATTACTTGCAAGTATTTTTATGTCATTAGCGTTGTCTCTCTTTTTAATAATGAGCAACACGACAATATTCAACTTTTTACATAAAGAGTCTAAATCCCTCACTAAGACCTGTGGGGTGGATAATGATCGGGTATCAACATATATAGCTAATTCTATGGGTACATAAACGCATTTGTATTAGCAATAACTATCAGTCTTTGCTATTTCGTTATAATTGTGAGTAAAAATTAACTCTATAAGAAGAAAAATCGGGATATGCTAAAACTGGTGGTTGCATTAAAATATTTCGCAACTTGCAAATTCAAATGCATTTTGACACTCTAAATTCCATTCAAATTTTACATTCTTTTTGCTTAATTGGTTTAACGGATGTGCAATTTTCGTAAATTGTGAAATAAAACGTCTGTATTAATTCGCAAATGCAACGAAACGTTTGACGTCGTCTGCATTTTTTGGTAGGTACCGGATATTTGTTTAACTTTACGCGGATTGGGTACAACGCCCCGGCGTAATTTTGTGACCTAAATAAACTATTTCCGTTCGTAAAAATTCGCATTTAAGTGGATTCAGTTTTAAATTGACTTTACGCGATCGATTAAATACTGTAATCAAATTTTTTGCGTGATCTTAAATTGATTTTCCTATGAAAACCAAATCATCTAAATCAGCAAAAGCTTGATTATAATTTATTCCACTCATGGCTACTGTCATTAACCTTGAAAACACACTTGGTGAAGTTTTTAAACCCATCGGGCACCGTTTAAATTGATACATTTTATCAGTAGTAAAAGCTGTGTACTTTCTAGATTTTTCGTTCAAAGTTAACTGATAGTACCCTTGTGAGTCATCTAATTTGGAAAAATAAATACTCCCCGATAGAGCACCTAATATGTCTGTAATGTTAGGTAACGGAAACTTGTTATCCGATATTTGTTTATTAAACTGACAATAATCAACCACAAGCCTCCATTTCTTTTCTTTAGATTTATCTACTTTCTTTGGAACAAGTAGAACTGGACTTGACCATTCTGAACTACATTCCTCTATGAAATCATTATCTAACATATTTTTTATCTGATTATTAATTTCTAACTTAAGTGAATGCGGAATCCTATAAGGTTTCACATATACAGGACTAGCATTTTCATTCAACGTAATAGAATATTCCATTAAATTCGTAGTTGTTAATTTATCACCTGGACGATGGAAAATATCTGAGTATTTAGCACAAATTTGTTCAATATTGAGCTAGTCTCCATCTTGTAAATAGTTCAAATCCAGTAAATTTAATAAGGACTGTACACGTTCTACACTTGTGTTTTCTCTATCAAAATTGCGAACTTCAAAATTCTTATGCAAATCTAAAATATCTAATTCTGAAAAATCTATCTCTAAATCTTGGTCAGCAGTGTTCAAAATTCTAACCGGGATTTTTCTGTTTTGTGGTTTAGAAATTAAACCTGCAATAAACACTCCTTCTTGAATTTCTTTAGCTAATGTTACACAGTCACCATATCTATGGTCGCCACGGCTGCAATTTTATGCTTGAATAGATTAAACTTACGATTTATAGGTACAAGAACCCATTTTTGTATCTGATACTGGTTCTTGAGGATCTGAATTGCAAACGGTTTCCTCTACACTAGGCCTATACGTCACTATTTTTTTTATTTCAGTTCTTAAAGAAACTATTTCTTTCGCATATTCATTTATAATCTCCCAATCTGATTCACTTATTTGATTTGACATAAATAATCTCGCGATATTATGTCAGGCAAAATTTCCTGAAATTCTTCGTATAATTCATTAGCCTCTAAATATTTATTATAAGCTAGTTTAGAATCAAGGCGTTCTCCTAACTTAATTATGTATTCTCGCAAATATCTTAAACCTCCTAATATAATATATAATTTACACTTCATTACAATTTATAAAATCATTAAGTAAAAAGTAAGTTAACGCATGAAATTGACCTTTAAAAAAATATATTAACGGAAATAACAAAGTAAAACGTGAACACCTAACCTACTTGGTCCATTCGATTACAATAAATTTGCACTCACTTGTCTACTGCGTTAAATTTGACGCCTCGTTCGCGCATTTCATAATGTGGTATGTAGTCACGGGTCGTTGATCTTCAACTTCTCTGGAACTGCATTTTGCTGTTCGGGACCTGGGCTGCGCTGATGATGCACGTGCTGCTATGTGGGCCGGGCTATACCCTGGACTCCGTGGGCCGGGATTACCCTGGACACCGCTCAGGCTCTTCTTACGACGACAACACGGCGGAAGGGGTAGTATTGAAACCCTTCTTATTTTGGATCTTGCAGTCTCCTTTTGTGTATGACGTTTCTTCTATAATGTAATACGTCGAATCCATTCTGAAGAATCAGTGATGATGAAGTATAATGACGACAGGCAGCTTCTGATGATGTTGTGGTTTGAGTTGAAATCTTCAAGTCATGTGGCAGTATTCAGTTGTTGCAGTAGTAATTCACGAAGGTCACAGGTTGCGGTTGGTTGGGTCACCATCTCATATTAGGTTGGTTGTGCAGTGAGGTAGTAGGGATGTCATCTGGTTAGCGACGTGTAGTGAAACAGGAACAATTTTAGACAGTGTGTTTATTCGTTCATGGTGCAAATAGAAGTGACTTAATAATTTCAATTACAATATAAAGAATCTTATGCCTACTCAACATTTCCTTCAATATGCAATCCAGTGACCTACTAAAGAAGTCACGTAGCTTCGACACATTACAAGGGCGTTGTGTAGAGGCTTAGGGGGAGATTTGTAATTTCATCTAGGGATTTGCATGATCAGGCGTCAGTATCCAAACAACCCAGTAATATCAGAGTGTATCATGACATATTATAATCTTATAAATCTGAGACGTTACGTGCCCGGCAAACCTACATTGAAATGAGGTTGGTAGAAAGCAAAAATCCATCCAAGGAAATATGGAATGTAGTCAATGACGAAATAGGCATAAAAACCAGATCATCAAACATCAGCCTCAAAGATTTATCGTCTCAGATTTATATACCAATAAATACGGTTC